GGAGCCAGCTGTGAGGAGGGGCCACCCTGCGGCCCTGTCAGCGCTGGTCATTAATCTTTAGGAAGGCATTCTTTGCCAAGGCCATGGAATCACCTTACGATTTAAAACACACACACACACAGAAGGGGGGAAAAAAGCGCTGTGCTCAGTGTGTGTGTGGTGCTACACTTTCCCTCTGCAGGAACAAGGGCTCTGACCTGCAGCCAGGCTCTCAGTTCTCTTCCTCCCTCTGTTTCTTTCTTATGAATGGACGCAAAACAACTCACAGGACACACTTTCTAGGTTACGTTCTCGTCAAAGTGAAAGAGTCAACATCAATGCAAGTTTCAAAATAACAAAGTTGATCTACATGTGTTCAGAGTGAACTACCACTTACTGTAACTTCCCACTCAATATTAAAGATGAGCTTCACTAAGATAAAAATATGAAAAATCAGGACAAAATCTAAGTCTGAATATGTCTTAGCTGCCTTAATAAAATGCCCTTTAACCCCCGTCAGTCCCAGTGGCCCACCCACCGCCAGCAGTGGTTTCTTATCTATAAAATCCATACTTCCAGCATCTTGAGGCTAAGACATCTGCACATGAATATGATTCATCCTACTGTAAAAGTCACTTGCTCAATCATCATAGTACATAACGCTGTAGTCTTCCATTTTGGGAGCTGTCAGGGAGTTTAGCTAAACTGCATTTCCACGATCACTGCAGGGAGTCTGGGCTGCTGCTGCCGCTGCCGCAAGACCGGCCCCGCTCCCTGGACTTCACAGGCTGCTTTGGAAAATGTCAGCTCCTAGCACCAAAGGGTTGGATCTGAAGATCATCATTGACGAAGGAGGAAGATGAGGTTTGCATACATGCCCCCATTCAGTGAGAAATGTGGGAACGGAGGGACATGAGTAGATACAGAAAAAGGAAAGGTTGGAGCTGTTCTGTTTTGTTTTGTTTCCCTGATGGCTTAATTCAGTGATAGTGTACCAAGATCAGAACTAACACACCAGGTCTTATCCTTACTGCCTACTTAGTGAACAGATGAGCTGTGTTCATCGTGCCAAGTAAAGTTCTTTTCTCATCATCGTTCAAGTCTCGGCTGTCTTCATCACACCGTGCTGCCAGACCTTCTGAATGGATCCATCCCCGACTAAGCACACATCAACATCCACATGTTGCGTTAAGCCCTTGGCATGGATAGTTAGATATTTTCAACACCAAGGGGTTAAACGACAGCATCTCTTCTCCCAAAACCAATATGTACAACGTCAGAGCCTTTTATCAATATATATATATTTTTTAAACACAGGAGAAAAAGTGCATGATTCTCATCAGCTTGTACGTTCCTTGCCCATGGGTCAAAAGAAGCTGCATGCTGTCTATCTTGTGTAAGTTGGAGCTGCACTGGCTACATGACATATGATCCTCATCACTAAATAATAAATACTACTGCAGTACCAACAAAACCATAAAGGCTACTCCAAGTTTTAACATCTGAGGAAAAAAAGTGAAATAATGAAAAACTTGAAAGCAGAAAATTAAAACAAATAAGGCGAACCCCTGTTTACCTGGTGTACAAATTTTGGTGAAAAGCAGGATCATCGTATCTGTCTACATTCTTCAGCCATCAAAGGTGATAAACACCAAGGAAGGGAAGACGCTTCCAAGCGCAGGCGCAAAAATGCTCTCTGGCACGCACTGAACATGAACCCTCTCCATGACGCTACCTCTGCCATGTGTGCGCCTTCATGTCCGAACCGTGTCCATGACTGCCCGCGAGACACAGCTTCTTCTGCAGTATTCAACAGGAATGTGTATGTACACACACCCACTCATCAACAGTTGTGTAGTCCTCTCACCTTCTTCCTAACGAGTCCCAGCCAGCCCTTAGTGATCTCTCCCTACCGGTGTGTCTCACTACCACCCTGCATCCGGTGCACACGACCATCCTTTCCCAAGTGCTTAGAATCACATACTAAATCTTCTTCGCTTCATTCATTTTTGATTTAGCTTCTAGAACGTTTTAAGAGGTACCTAGAGTCAAAGGACCCCTCCCAGCCTTCATTGTTAGGGAAAACAAAAACTAAAAGACAACAAAGATAACAGTTGGTGCACAAATCAACCATGGTGAACTCATGATTCACAAAAATCAGAAAATTACCTCTTAAAGTTGCTATAAGAGTAAGACAGTAGCAGCAACAGCATGAGACCTTAGACTGAGATACAATTTCATGCAAAAACAGAAAGTCGAGTGTGTTTGCATATATGTGTGTTTTCGTGTGGGTGAGAGGTTAGGGGTGAAAGACCCTTCCTTGGTTGGTCGGAGACTTTTGTTCCCACTGTCTGCAAGAGCGAGGACCGTTGGCGATGTCCAGGAGCCGTTTCCAGTGCTCAGTCTAAGATGCTGTGAAGGAGTGGACTGCGAGGCTTATTCTCGGCCGCTTGCGGAGTAGGAGAACTGAGGGAAGTGAGGCCGCCTCTCGCTGTCGATGCAGTCCATTCCATCCTCATCGTCTGTGGGCAGCAAACAACTTCGTTAGACTCTGGCCAATTATGATCTCTGGTCTATATTTTCCTTACTAAAAATAGAGGCAATAAAACTCACATAAACTAACATTTGTCAATGGGATAATCAATAAGCACATTTTTTAAAGTTCTATTTTTCATAAACATGTGGTCGATGGGTAGAGAAGACTATCAAATCCCTCTCTCTCCAGGCACTAACCCTTCAAGTCTGAACAAAACTGAGAAAAAAGAATACTGAAGAGAATAGGACTTTCCTAAAAGGAACAAGCCACCGACAGTAACCTTTCATTTCATGAAACTCACCGTCTGAGCTGGTTCGGGTTCTTAGCGACCCTAGAGGGCAGGGAGAAACTGCCCCTTTTGGTTTTCGAGAAGGTGTGGAAAAACTTCTCTTTCTCCTTGGGGTGGGTAGTGGTTTCTGACTGCTAACCTCACCAATTAGCATCCCAGCAGGTAACCACTACGCCACCAGGGCGCCTCTGTTTGCTAAACTGACAGAAGTCCTGAATGTTTAAGGCACTACAGAGAAAATGTTAATGTCTATAGAGAATTCTTTGCCAAATACCTTCAAATGCAAAATGGAGATAACCATGGCCTGATTTCATTTGTGTCCTTGACTGTCTTTTTATTTCTAACATTTTTATTCTCTCTATTCAGCATATCTTTTCTGCCGTAACACCCTGTTCCCAATTTTCTTGTGATAAAACCTGATACTCAGATAAAGGCTAAGGGGTGGTGGTGGTAGTGGTGTGTGTACTAGTTTACCAGCAGACAGAGACTGTTTACAAGGAAGCTGCCCTTTCATCTTGTCGTGTTTTCCTGTAGAGGGCGGATTACAGCTGATGGCCCAGCCTCTTTTGCAGCAGTGCTGCCGATCAGAACCCTGCCTGGTCAGGATGCCTTTCTTTCCAGCCGGTCATTTGGTCATCCCTCATCACCAGGCGCTCCTCTCCTTCCAGGTGCTCTGCAAGTGGAGGGTGAACTCTGGGCCCTCACTCAACGGGATTTCCTGGCTTGTGGCTCACAACGGGCTCCTTCCTGTCCCAGTATTCCTTCCACGTGTTTTTCCACGCTCCTTTGAAACAGACATTTTCAGTTGTGAACTTTCCCACGGCCCTGCCGCATGGCCCTGCCAGCTTTCCAGGGATAGAATGTACCTTTTGAGACTGTAATACCTGAAACGTGCCCTTCCCTCATAAAAATCACCTGGATTTACAAACGTGCTTCTGCCACATGCATTCTGCCAGCACTGCGAAGCAAGAACGGGGAACCACCCAACCTAACGCAAGCACTGCCCTCAGAAGTGCGTGCTGGGTTTGTCAACACACGATAGTTTTACATTTTGATATTTTTGTTCGACAAACGTTTCTACAATTTTGTAGCAGCCCTCATACAATTACCTAATATTTTCATTTTCTAGCCTCTCTAAGGGGCAGTCCTCTCACACAATGGGAGAAAACAGCACTGGCCCACTCTCGCCACATTGTGGACACCGACTGCTACCCAACAAAGGGCGGAGCTTTGCATTTGTCTGAAATGCACGAGACAACTGTTTCTGTTTGCCTCCTTTGATCACAGTTCTTATGTTTGTGCTTATGTTCTTAAAACAAAAGTGTCTAAGAACTGCTACCAAATTAAAACTGAATGAAGTAGGAATCAACCAACTGAAAAGCATTCGTGTCTCCCTTCTATTGACCTGGGAGTCAGGACCCTCAATCTTTCCAGAGCAGCGGTTCTCAACCTTCCGAATGCCGCGACCCTTTCATACAGTTCCTCATGTGGTGGTGACCCCCAACCATAACATTATTTTCATTGCTACTTCATAACTGTAATTTGGCTGTTATGAATCATAATGTAAGTATCTGATATGCAGGATGTATTTTCATTGTTACAAACAACATAATTAAAGCATAGTGATGAATCACAAAAACAATATGTAATTATATATTGTGAAATATTCATTTCTAATTACAAATAAATGAAATTTTGTCTTGAAGCATGGTGTAGCATGGGTAACTGTCTTCAGCCCAGGTACTCGGACGTGGGCATATCTGCATGTGGGTGGACGCACCTGGAGATGGATAGAGGAGCCGTTTTGGTTCCAGACCATCGGAAATGTGTTTTCTGATGGTCTTAGGCGACCCCTGTGAAAAGGTCATTCGACAACCCCCCCCCAAAGGGGTCACAACCCACGGGTTGAGAACCACTGCTCTAGAAGTAGACTACACCCACTGTAGTTGGTTTTTCTTGATAGTATCGGGTTCTATGGAAGGCTTTGTTTCATTAGGTGTTCTCAACCAAGTAATACGCATGCACCTCTTAGCTCAAATACCTTCAGCAGTATTTTTTTGCTCTGCCAGAGAGACTGTAGGAGCTGGGAAATGAGGGTGAGTCAATCAGTTCTGAGTCACAGCTTCTAAAATTTCTCTAGAAATCTACAAAAGGGCCGCTGAAATCTCCAGGCTCAGATTCTGACATGTGTCAATCACGTCTCAGAGAAACAGTTTTCCCCCATTAACAGCTTTGTTTTGCCGAGTGTGTTTCGGCACCACAAACGCGCTGTGCCCAGGACAGCACACGTGGGAGGGAGGGAAGCTGGTCTTGGGCAGTTGGAAGGATGGCTGGGCTCCCAGATGACCTGGCCCAGCCCAGGGCTGCGAGGCCGGGGAAGTACACTGGCTTTCCTTCAGGAGGAGGGGTACTGAGGCTGGGGACAGCTGAAAATTAGTCTTCAATTCTGCTGGTAACAAATTAATCACATCTCTGAATTTAAAAAAAATCTGAATTTCAGAAATAACTCCGTGAAGACCCTGATAATCTTTAAAACCAGTATCTCTCACTTCTTTTTCCTTCGTTCTTGGTAATAGAAGGAGGAAAATATAAGATCCTTAACCAAAATGGACCCATTTTGGAAATGGGTCCTTGGAAAATGGAATTAAAAGATTATAATACAGTTTTCTGCCATGAGCCTGGCAGAGGGACTGAGGCTGACCCTGGCAAGGGTAGGCACACAGGTAAGTCCTTGCTCTGGAAGGATGCGTACAGAGAGCAGTGGAGACAATAGAGAGAAGCCTGTTTCAAACACCTCTGAAAAAAGAAAACAGCAAGTGAGGGTCCATCGGAATGGCCAACCCCAAGGAGCATCAGCTACTTCATCTTCTAGGCGTATTTAAACCAATGTGATTATGTGGCAGCAAAGCTACCAGATCGCAGAGAAATCCTATTTTCCTATAAGAGGAAGGCAGAGCACCATTAATGGGTGTAACACAAGACGACATACTCCAAAATCTGTTCAATTAATTAACACCAGTGAGGACAATCTGGCATGTTACTGCAGCTGTTTGTAGAAAATGGAACATTTTGCCTTCCTAAGTGCTGATTTGTTCTGAAAAATAATAATAATAACAACTCCATTCTGTTTCATAACAGCAAGGTGGCAAGTAGGGAGACAAGTGCTAACTAATGTTACTACTGTGGACTTTATGCACCAACTTCTGTCTTTCGGCAGCTGGAAAGCTGCGCCATTGTTCAAGCGGAAAGAAGAGATGTTGTTAAACGTAGTCACAGTTCATGATTTCACTGCTTCTCCCCTTTATCTGCCCCTTATGGGAAGGCAGAGTAAGTACCTCCACAGCCTGTTCACGGAAGCCAGGGGCGGAGTCACCGAGAGCAGACAGCGCAGGCCCACAGCAGGGCACTTCAGCCCTGGAGAGGCAGAGGGCGCACTCTTGGCGCCTGGTGCTGTGCTGGCCACTGGCGGGGGGCCAGCAGACTTGCTGCTGCCAGTCTGTCTTCACACAGGCTGGGGAGCTCTTCACCTGGCTGCTCTGTCCAGAGAGGCTGAATCAAGAGAGAGAGCAGGCCGACACTAGCTCCTCAGACCACGGCCCTGTGACTCAATGCTGGACACGCACATCCCCCTCCCCCACGGGCGGTACCCAGCACGGGAATTTCTACAGTGCATCGGCTTCCTTTTGAAGGCCGTGGGTTCTGCAAACAGTAAAATACTGGGCTACTAATAAAAAGGCCTGTGGTTTGAACCCACCCAAAGGCACCTCAGAAAAGAGGCCTGGAGATTTGCCTTCCAAAAGTCAAGACATTGACACCGCTATGGCACATGCGCCACTCTGAGTGCTATAGGGTTGCCATGCGGTAGAGCGTATGTTTATGTGATGTGTGTGTGTTTACTGGGGGGAGGGGGGTGTCCTGACACAGAAATGGTCCTATTTTCCTTTAATGCCGTTGCGATCGCTAGGCTTTCTGTTGTTGTTAGTTCCTGTCCAGTCAGTTCCAACCTCCTGTCAAACAGAAAAGAGCATGCCTGCTTCCGCTTCTGTCTAGTTCCACGATCAGAGCTGCTGCTGCCCAAATAAAGACTACATGTATTTGTTTGAAAAAGAGTTGATGAAAATGCAAAAATGTGACATGCCAGGAAAAAACATTTTATTAAAGGCTGAATTGTTGATCAAGAACATATGACACTAGGTTCAAATTAAGCTCTAAAATCTTTGTGGGGAGATTTAAAACACCCTCTCACCTTCCGAACTGTCTTGTTTTATATGTTCTAGAAACTGAGCACCGATCAAACGGCTACTCTTGTCCTGACACTCGCCCTGAAAGCTTGGAGCGAGGGCCGGGCAGCGGGAGCAGTTTCCCACGGATTCTGGTCCTGGAGAGCTAGGCTGTGATGACCGCCAACCACAGGGAGAGAAGGCGCTAGCAAAGTAGCTATACAAGGGATGTCAACAAGTTCTTGGAAAATGGAATTAAAAGATTATAATACAGTTTTCTCATTAACTTTTTGAAGCCCCTTCATATCTTTTAAGTTTTAATTTAACTTATTTATAGTCACACTGGACTTGTAAACTGTCTCCCAGTGGTCTTTCATATCTTGTGTTTCCAAACATCATTTTCCTGTCAGCCCTTTCCCCACCTCCTGTGTGCCCTCACGGTGACTTTGTTTCATTAGATATTCGGCTGGGCCCAGCTTCACCCTCATGTAGTGGATTACTGGACAAAGGAATTTAAAACATAGTGCTGAAATACATTTTCAAAGTCACACTTGTAAGACCCTGAGTGTTTTGGCTGAAGCAATGGCTGCTTCTGAATTCACGGAATGGGTCTCCCAGGGCACTGGAACCACTGGCCCAGACCTAGGAAGTGGGAGAGAGAAGGGCTGAGCCCACCAGTCTGCCAATGTCATCCCTGCCTCTCAAACTGAGATTTTACTTTGATGTTTCTCAAGTGCACTGTCTAGCTCTAGCTTTGCACTTACAGAGCCTACTTCTACCTATGACTTCCAAAATGCCATATTTGATTCTCCTGAAGAGTCCAGAAATGCCAAAAAGCTCTATTTAAGAGAAAGAACAATCTCAAGTACAGTAAGGCCGAGGGCAGAGACAAGACCTGGCTCTCCTGAGGCTCGTAGTGGAAACCGAGTGGGGAGCAAGAAAGTCCAGCTACCCTCCGGGCCCCAATAGGCAGTGGCACCCTTGTAAGGCAGGCATCCCATCCCTGAAGGCTCATTCCTATGTGGGGTCTGTTTAATCATTCATCTAAGAGGTATTTATTGGAAACTATGATGACTAGGAATCCAGAGAGGAACTGAGGCTAGCAGTGAGTAATGCAAATAAGATTCCTCCCTCTCTAAAAACTGCCTGCAAGTGGCAGAAGCAAACAATAAACAAAATTATCCAGAAAAACTATTAGCAAGCTAGAGGTGCTAACATGCAGTGTTTAGAGTGAGGTTATCACCACGTGTGTGCATTGTTCTGTAGATTGGGGAGTCAGAGAAGAATCTCTAATGAAACGTGATGTGAAGCACAAAGAGCCAGACAATCATGGAAATATCTGTGGAAAGAGAATTCTAGACACAGAAAGTCCCAAGGGAGGTGAAGGGAGCATGTTTGAGATCTGTTTGGAGCACAGAAACAAGGAGGAAAGGTGGAGCACAATGAAGTCACAGGAGGATAGGGTCCAGATTAGCAAATGAGCTGGGTGGTTTAGAATTACGCTGCAATGGGAAGCCAATGGAAGGTTTCAGCAGGGCCTGATGGAGCTGGATTACAATTAGAATGACACCCACCGGAGGGAGCTTAGTGGATGCTGTAGAGAGGGAACTTCCCTGGTCCACTCTAATAAATTACGGGACTGCCCAGCATTTCAGACAACTATATTCCTACAAACCATGGATGGGTCAGAGGAACTACAAGGGGCTTCAAAAAGTTTGTGGGAAAATGTAATGAAAAGAATTCACCTTGTCCTATGATTTTTAGAAGGCCCTCATATATTCCGGTCTATGCGCATTGTTGGCACTCCAATAGCCCAGGCTTCAGCATTTTCCCACAACTTCAAAGTCTTTCTGGCACTGTGAGTTAACTTGTCAAAAGCCTAAGCTTCTCTCTGTGGCACATAAGGCAGCGGGGACGCTCACTGCCCCACCACGGTGCTGTACGGTGAGCAGCCCTAGCAACGTAACCTGGGCACCATTCCGGCTATGGCTGCCACTGACCGTGGGACCACGAGCAGCTCACGTTTCACTGGGTTCTGCCCCACCCCCATCTCTGCTGGATCTCAACGTCCTCATTCCTAAAGTGAAAGTAAAGGGTTTCTGGTGACTCTAAGTACAGGCACAGACATTTCCCCCAGTAAAGTACATATCTGCCCAAATATTATATTTTACATTTGGGGTGTTTTTCATTTCAGTCATGTCTTCTGGTTGAGGCTCTCTTGGCCTAGGTGCCTCCTGGTGTGCCCTCAAATGACCAAACCTACTGAGCGCCTCCGTCCCTTCCCTCACAGACACACAGGGTATGTCAACTAGCGCTGGCAACTAACTTGTTTCAACTAGAAAAAGGGAAGGGACACAGAGGGAAACCATCCAGGGAAATACAGGAAAAGAAAAGAAAAACATGATGTTATTGGGTGAGCCAAAAGATGTGTGACTTGAAGACTATTTTTAACCATCAATTTATCACCCTAAATCTCAATCTAATTTTCCTTCCTAAGACTTGAAAACTGGCAGATGTGTACTGGACTTCCCAGTCAGCATTTGCTGTCTGAACTAAGACTTTTGAGAATAACACTTGTCAGCAGTGTTTATAAATTATATTTGAAGATACTTTTCTTCCATTAGATTTACTTATTTAGGTCCCGCCCTGCCCCATAACAACATATCAAAGTATGGGATACAGACATGAAGTGGTTGTAATCTGAACATGAACATAATTTTAATGGCTATATCATCTAATTTATATACAGGCGGGTAAGTCAAAAAGTATTGCTACTTGGGTTCTAGTTTATACAAACCTGGGTTTACTCCGAACAAAACACGTTAAAGCATGTCTCTGCCATCCGTGAATGGCTGCAGACAAGTTCTCTCAGACACTCGCCTTAGTCTCATTCCAAAAAATCCAAACTCACTGTCAACAAGGCGATTCTGACTCATAGTGACCCTTCCGGACAGGCTAGAACTGCCCTTATCGGTTTCCAAGACTGTAACTCTGTATGGGAGTAGCAAGCCTTGCTTTTTTGCCATGGTCTCATTAGGATGCATTTAAAAAAAAATTTCAATGAAAATAGTGGCTTCTAAGGGGACCTGTTGGGCCAGTTAAAGTCAAGGCAGAAAGGTCAGCTCCAGAGGTTATGACAACTGTTTTTATAGAATCTCCAAGGGCTAATCTTGACAGGTACTCTTCAAAGACACAGGACAATCCCGGGGGGCTATTAAGGAGAAGTTTGAAGAACATTACAAATTGCATTGGCTTTTCCTGAATTGCGATCTGTTGGTAGGCTTTTCGGTCAGGAAAGATGTGCTGAGGCATGTATTCCACCCTAACAATACATTGGGTCACTGACTGGATGGAGTAAGGGCTGCACCCCGAGAAAAGTGTCGGAAAACTTTACCCATCCACCACCTAGCCCGGATCTTACCCTCTCAGGTTTCGTTTTGTTCTCCAAACTCAAGTACGTAAAGGCTTTAAGTCCCTGGAGAATGTCAAAGCCACAGTGCAAAATCCCTCGGGAGCACTGGAGGGACGGAGACCTGGCCTTCGGAAGGTCTGTATGGAGGCCATGCTGAGAGAAAATAGCTTCCCGTTTTGATGCTTTTGTTTAACAAAGTTTGCTATGATTCTATAGCAAGAATTTTTTTTACCCTCACAGATATAAAATATTACTAGTAAAATAAATGATTACTTCATAGATAATACTGGTTACAGCAAAGCTAAAGAAAAAAGTAACTCCATTACAAATGAATTGAAAAACTATTAAGTAGGATAGCAGGATTGGCAAAAAGCCATGAAGGTGGTGTGTCCATGCACAAGGCCTGGGGAAAGTAGTAAATTCCTATTTCAGAATTCTTTCAGCTCATGTCAAAAGAATCTATTGGAAAATCAAAAGAAAGGGGGCTAACGCGACTGAAATTTCGACTACCATCCCGTCTACAATTCCTCCCAAGAGGAGTTTTCCACCAGAGATGCTTTCTCCTCTCAAGTCACTGTCTCTTCAGATTTTCACACTGGGAATTGTACATCCTTAAAAGAAGTAAGTCACTGTGGAATGTGATTGCAATACCAGCCAATGCTTTTTTAAATGACTATTTTTTTAGGTATAGTAGAAAGTCTCACTACCTTCCTGATTTACTTACATTTTTCAGGTGGTGTTATTGTAATTGTCTGAGCTGTAAATTCTTCATCAAAATATCTGGTATCTGTCTCAGATGTTACTTGAGGCTTAAAAGGAGGTAAAAGCTATAGAAAGAAGAAAAAAAGATACTGTTAACATTGTATTTTAGGAAAATTCACACCCATGGCAAAGTTAGAGAGAAAACAAATAATGAACAGTGCAAAATCTAGAAGACTGGTCGAGATTGTACTAGAGTTCCCCATCAGCAGTCTAACACAGACCAGTGGGTGGTGGGTTGCCTGTACAAAACCTGAGAGATTAGGGAAAACAGAACAAGGGAGAGCCACGGAGGAGAAATCTACTCTTTTTCCCCAACGACTGCACAGACAAAGCCATATATATGGACTGGTCTCTGCAACGAGATGCAGACTTTTTCTCGTGCGCCTTTCCTGGTGCACCTGGCTGAGCAGGGTATTATTAAAAGCACAATTTAATAACGCAACTCTTCCCTTTGCAGATAAAGTGCTCTCTCCTTACTTTGCAAAGAGCTGTAATTCCGCGAGAGGGGGAAGTCAATGCCTAACCTTCCCTGGATTCTTGGCAGTCCCTGGTGAGACTGAAATGCAAAACGTTTTGTCCACAGCTTTGTCAGCTTCTCGGTGGGGGCCGTGGTCTCTAAGGAGATGCAGAGAAATGATTCTGGAAACTGGAATGGCTAAAGTCACTGCCAAGGACTGCCATGGCATGGGGGTGGGGTGCGGGCTAGGAAGGGCTGGAGCTGGAGGTTTTAAGGTCATGCAAACCCTGCAGCAGTGCCTCCACCAGCCAGGAGGAAGCTGATGTCAAAGCAGGGGCTCCCCTTTCTAGAGTGGGGGCCTTGAGGGGGTAGGTGTATCCTGCAAGTCTCCTTTCAAGATAGAAAATCCTGTCTCTGAGCTTGGAGTGAGCGCATGATCTGTTGATTGCAATTCAGGACAGAAGATACCATTTTTTGGAATAAAACTCTCATGTGGATATGAAAACAGAAATTAGAATGACAGAAATTAGTATGTTTTATAAAGATTTTACTAAAACAAAACCACACAATTGGCTTTAGATCAATGCATTTTCCCACTTTTACTGTCACCAAATTTATGTTAAATAAGTAGGCAAAAATCTTTAAATTAGTCTCTAAACAGACCATGTTTTTCAAAAATAGGAGATGAGTGCAGTTAAAAGCATGTTTTCAAAATAAAGGACCACACTGCAGCTTACGGCATGTGTTCCCAAGCTTATCTCTGATTTCCATTTGCCCCCAATTCACAGCCATTCTACAGCCTTCAAAATGAACAAGTATTTTTCTGGGGTGCAAACTAAATTCTCGTACCATTGATCAGCAAGAAACGGGTCCTACAGAGTAATATGGCTCCTCCCAGGGCTCCCTGTCATCTCCTAGCTGGCACAAGCTCTGGTAGCAGCGAGGAAGAGGAGCAGGCGATGCACCAGCTCAGTGTTCTCTTAGTTGTTCCGTGAGGATGACGTAACATAGGCAAGCAGTTACCTACACTGTTGGAAAGAGTTCCCTTTCTGTTCAGAAATAAATGTATTCTTTTCTGTGCACAGAAAATTGGGCGACTGAAATCTGGTGAAGATTTTCCCCTGCAGAGTAGAGCGGCCCCTTACCCCACTGTTTCCAGCGTCAGCAGTGCCCCTAGCACCTCCCTGGCCAGCAGTGCCGCTGTCCCTGTGGCTGGGGCGCACCTCTTGCAGAGTGAGTACCAGGTTCTGAGCACCCAGTGCTCACACCAGTCTCACACTGCCCTTTTCCCTTTTTTTTTCTTTTTATTTTCCCTTAAATTGCCTTTCCCCCTACTTTTTTTCTTCTACTCCACCCTTTTTAAAATGTCTTTCTCTTACCAGTTTGAAGTCAGTCAACAGACTCACATCTGCCACCCACACATTGGGTGAGTGCCCCACACACTGCACCACCTCTGAACTGATGATGGCAATGGTCAGCACCCATTCACCCTCCCCTCACACAACGGCTCTACACAACTAGCAATTAGGGACGACTGTCCACTCCCGATGATCCCTAGTGGCGGGGTGGCTGCTCGTTGCGCTGCAATCCCCAATGTCCAGCCGGTGCTCTGTAGGAGAAAGTGATCTTTTTATTCCTGTACACAGTCACACTCTTGGAAACTCCAGGGGCAGTTCTACCCTGCCCTACAGGGTTGCTATGAGTCAGCACCAAATCTATGGCAGTGAGGGTAAGTCCACACTCCCAATCAATTACTAAATCCACCTAGAGGCGGGTTATGTGCTACCAAACTAGCAACCATTGTAGCACGCCCACCCTTTTGTCTAATTATTTAAAAAAAAATGCCAGTGAAGTTAACCAACAGACAGCTAACAAATTAATATACTACTACCACGATGCCTCAAGCCAGCACACAAGTTCAAATCTCTCTCTCTCTCAAACACACACACCACCACCCCGTCTCCAAACAGACAGATGGCCCAAACAAGTGACCTAAATACAGGTACAGAAAATCTTCCAGAGGAAGATATCCTTTGAGAACTAACTAATAAGGAATTCAACAATCTATCCTTGTGTCATTTCATCAGGTTACAAAAGAGATCAAAGACAACACCAAAGAAACCAGAGACAAACTGGAGACAAACACGGCTAAAATTCTAGAAGAATTCAAGAAAATAATACAACAAAACTGGTCTAAAATGATTTAAAAAATAGAAATCATACACAAAACAGCAAATGGAAATCTAGAAAATTACTACTAAGGTGACAGAAATGGACAACACATTTTAAGGGCAAGAAGCCCTGTGGTAGAGGGAGCTGAGGATTGAGAGTAGGGTCAGATGATTGATTCTAGCAAAAGTAATAGAACTGTCGCACATATGCACTTAATCACAATCACATTATCTACTATGTTACAAGATAGGAAAACTAAAATTACTGTATTTATTTATGCAAAACCACACAAGATTAACTGATATTCATACTGCCGACCTTGATCTTACACAAAAAACGTGACCATGTACCAAAGTATACATCACACTGCTATATAAGCATTATACCACAAATTGGAGAGCCATCGTGGCACGGCGGGTTAGACCTTGGCTGTTAGACAAACAAATCCGCAGCTGCTACACTCAATGGGAGAGCAAGATGGGAGTGTTTCTGCAATGATTTCCAGCCTCGGAAAGCTTATGTGACAGCTCTGCTCTGTCCATGAGTTGAAATGGGCTCAATAGGTGTGACTCAAAGTAGGATTTATCATGTATCGGCTCCATTAAGATGAATATTTTAGCTATAACAAAAGTTGGATACATCTGCTTTCTCTGCTGAAATTCAAGGAGGCTTTTTAACACAGGATAGAGGTGCATTTGGACTGCTTTTACACAATCCCCAGACATTTGAACGCAGGTTTTCCCTTCCTGTTTAAAACGAACTTCACAAGTATCCATTACATGTGGTCTACAGTAGGTCTGAGGAAAGGGGACGTCACAGACACACAGACATATAACTACAGTAGTTGAACGCTGCAGTTATACTGGAGAGCAGTCATTTATAAAAGGAAAAGTGCTCTTGGGAATGAAACCCAGGGCCTTTTTGAAAGACAAGGAAAGGTAGTAGAAAGATTTTGCTTCTAAAATAGTGTTTATGGGCAGGTTGTATGGATTAGAGCCCTAAGGACCGCAATGAGAACCAAGTGGTGTGATTTACAAAGGTTAAGTCAAAAAGTAGTGCTACCAGGATTCCTGCTCATGCACGCCGTTTCATTCCACACCACACATGCTTACTATGGATGGCCGCAGACAATTTCCCTCTGCAATACACGTCTTAGTGACAATACGGTGCTTTACAAAAGGCGGGGGTTGTTTTTGTGCCATGCAAATAACAGTTTTTAGAGCAGGACAACATCAACGTTGTGACAGAACAAATGCAGGCATCTTCCCAAATCTTAGAAGCTTTGCACCAAGTTTACAGGCATGCTGTCCCATAGAAAACAAAGTTTTAGATGAATCAAGCATTTTAAGAATGGGTTTATGGGATGTGCATTTCTGTTTTACATAGTGCTTACATTTACCTCCTACCATTTATACTGACTTTTATTCATTTAATGAGACAAATATATATATCCAAATTCATTTTCTTCTAAACTGTGTTAGACAGGGTTCTATAGAGAGACAAAAACAGATTGCTAGTAATTATATATATATATGTATATATATATTTATAGAGATAGATAAATATATAGCACAAGAAATGAACTGTTAAATTATAAGCAGTATGAATGATTCAGTGCAACTCACTCCCATGAGAGAGTTGTGAGACACTGGCAGTCCTTTGAGTCTTGAAGGCCACCACGATGTCCTCTGTGGAAAGAGCTCGGCTATCCCAGCACAGGCAGCAAAACAGCCAGGCAGGTCACCAACTGTCAGTCCCCAGCTCAAGAGATGCAAATTTCAATCGTGTGGTCTTAAAGGGACCTCAACTTACAGCGACAAGTCCACAGGCTAGGCGTTCCACAGGTATTGTAGCCTCTACATTTAGGCACAGAACAAGCAAGGCAGCCGCACACTGGTCCGATGGTCAAAGAGCGAGAGACAAGAAAGGCGAGGCTCACGGAGCCATTTATCTCTCCGCCCTTCAATTAATCCCACTTGTGTTTATCAGCCAGGCTGGCACAATAAACTATCTCATAAACCTTAACTTAAAATTCTCCTTGTGATAAACACACCACTACAGATATGTGTCAATTTGCCATGAATGTAAACTGAGTATTAAGCCAGATAAATATATATGTAGTCAAAAGTTCTTAAAAAGTAAACATCAAATGTAAACATAAACAATGCAGCATAGATTGTTATACTGAGTGACCCAAGCGACCTTTAAGACATGTTGGGTCCAATCATTGAACATGTTGTATAATGTTAAATACTATAAATTTTATATACAGATATATTGTATAATTATGCTGTTTGTAAATAAAAATAATTGTTTTTTAAAGAAAACGTGTGGTTCTGTTCACATGCCAAATGTCTATAAACCTAGTGTTAAGGAAGAATGGGAAACCTCAAAGATGGGCCAAGAAAGGGAAAGAATGAAGTAACCATGGCTGAA